ATCGGACGCGCATCCGCTCCTATCAGCTTCACACGCACGCTGCAATCTGCGGCTGCCAAAGTTCCACCATGTCGACAACATATGGCGCGTTCTTTCTCTTCACCCTACACCCAAGTTCGCGGGATAAACCTTGGAACTGCGCGCTTTCTGCGGACGGACTATACCCTCAGCTGTTGAGAAATGCCTTTTGCTGATATCCAGCTCAACGACGGGAACAAGGTGCGCTTATCGTCGTGTGAAGTCGAGCTCTCTTATGCTTATCTGTTCTCTCAGATTCCTGCTATCGCCTTTGGCTCTGGGAGCGTCAACAAGGGACATGATATACACCACTACATAGAGCAGGCTATCGATACCGGCTTTACCCACCTCGATACAGCCCAATGTGAATATGCGCCCGTAGTCTCCGGCACATGCTGTTCTGCTGATGCGGCCACTTGTTTCAGTTTACCAGAACCAAGAGAGCGTGGGTCTCGCTATCCGAGAGAGTGGACTCAGCAGGGCGGAGTTGTACCTCACTTCGAAATGGGGATTTGGCAACATCCATGACGCCCTCAACGAGAGCTTAACCAAGGTATATAATGAACACGTTCAACAATTCATGAGCTGCGACATTGACTTTTGACCCTAACAAGATCGGCGTAAAGCAACTCGACTTGTACCTCATACACACTCCGACAGCTATCCAGAATGACGATTTTGAAGGCGCCTGGAGAACATTCGAGAAGATCAAAGAAGACGGGCTTGCAAAGTCAATTCATTTCACTGTTCCACTCTCCCGAAAACTCACCTTTACTCTGCAGGAGCATAGGGGTGAGCAACTTCGAGATCGACCACCTGCAGAAGGTGGTGAAGATAGCTAGAGTCAAGCCCGCTGTGAATCAAGTGCGTGTTCGTGGTTTTCCTCCGTATTTCCCTTCTTAAACTCCATACTCCCTATCTGTTTTCAAGATTCAGCTCCATCCTTACAATATTGCGAAGCATGCGGCATTGCTTGAATATCACAAGAAACATGGGATTATAACGGAAGCCTATGGGAGCCTTGCGTCAGTCCATCGTGAAAAAACTCAAGTGTTCCTTGCGAAACTCACTTTGCATATATCGGTGTAGCCCGATTACCAAGTTCCCTGGAGGACCTGTGGATGAGGTGTTGGAAAAGGCCGCTGGGCGACTTGGTATCTCAACGACGCAAGTCGTTTTCCTTTGGGTTAAAGCGAAAGGAGCGGTCATCGTAACGTGAGTGCATTTCGACACCGTCTTCAGGGAAAGTATGTTGATAAATTATAGAACGAGTTCCAACAGACAGCACCTCGAAGAATATTTTGCCGTTGGTGACCTCCGTGCGTGCATTCCATATTTCGACATTTTTTTTTCGCGGGCTAATGCATTTCTTGCGTTGCGTACAGCCGATTTAACCGCAGAAGAGGTCGCAGCTATAGACGCTGCCGGTGCGAAGGGGCCGCCCTCCAAATTCATTTTCGCGAGCCTCTCGAAACGATCCCCCGGATTTAGAGGGGTTTTGCTGGCCGTCTTCCTGGTGTTGGTGTACTGTGTGGCATTGCGTTATGCCGGTAGGGGCTATACCTGTTAGGTGGTGTTGTCTCGGGGAGCTTTATGTACAGGTGTGGGGGACGGATTCGTGTTTTTTTTATGTATGATGTAGGTTACAGACATTACCATGGGACTGCTTTGTGTTGGGCTACTTCCGTATGTCATAATCACCCAAGCCCGTCGAAAAATTCAACATTCAACCCGTGGCAGAACTTACTCAAAAGTGAGTTGGCGTTCCTTGAAGCATTCCAAGCGAGGCGAATTTTGTGTGGACAGGTGTCCCAACTGTTTGGGCACAAATGGTGTGCATCCTGCGTCACCCGATGATCGAGCAAGTGCCTCAGAGCGTTAATGAGGGGCTCTAGATAGGATGTTGATCCCGTTCAGTAGTTGCTCTAAATATCTAACGGAACGAAATAAGAAATGAGAAGAAGTTTACCATAGAGAGCACTCACTCATTCCGCCAGACTGCCTTCACGCTTTCCGCGCCGTGCCATTCCTGCTCCTCTTCCCCACCGTCGTCCCACTCAGCATCGGATCACCCGAAAGCATCGAATACCGCCTCTCCGCCTCCGCCGGCTGGCCCCAATGATTCCACGGCCCATCCGTCACCCCCGCCCCCTCCGCGCCCGTGCCTCCGTTCTCCCCCAGCGGCGGCGGTGGTGGCGCGCTCTTCCCCATATGCGGCCCCGCGGTGATCTGCATGCCCGGCCCCATCATGCTCCGCATCAGCGCGTCGATATCCCTTGTCACCGGGCGCACGTCGAGCGCCGCCTGCGACCTGCGCAGCAGGATCTGCTCGAACAGCGCGTCCTCCCTGAGCTGCGCCACCTCCGCGCGGAGCGACGCCATCACGCGCTCGTGCAGCGCTACGCCCCCACCGCGACCCGCGTCAGCATCATCGAAACCCTGATAGAAGTAAACAATAAAACGCACTTTGCACCTCCGCCGCCCCCACATCCCGCTCGCTCGCGCGCACGAAGCGCCCTTGGGGCGTGAGGACAGTGAGCAGCGGGTCCTGGTCCGCGCGGAACTCCTCCGTCCGCGGGAGGTGCAGCCCAATGCGCTCGCTACATTTCCTTGCGAAGGCGGCGGGCGAGAGCTGCGCCTCGCTGTCGCTGTGCGCGGTCTGGTCCGCGCCGTAGGACGTCCCCACGGACGAGGCGGGCGAGGGCACCCGCATGACGGGGTCCGCGTACTCGGAGTGGTGGGTGTGGGTGGGGAAGGCTGACATGGTCGGAATGGTCCAGATCGGTCCAGATGGGCGCGAGGTGGTAAATGGGCTGAGAGTGAGCTGAGAGGTTGAGTCCAACAGACGAGATTCAATGAAATTGAACCAGCGTCAGTAAGTCAGGTGACGTCTATCCAATAGCAATGCATTTTATTGTTAGAGCAACGCTACTTAAAATAGCTATATACGAGTGTGGCGCAATTTATATCTACTGCTCTAACGTTGGTGGTGCGCTGAACACCATAAATTAAGATCATATAACGCGGCTACTGCCACGAGCACCATTCTAATGCCTCGATAGAAATGCAAGGGTCAATCCTTTTTCAAGGCTTTTACCTCCAGCAGAGGATCCAGATGTGATTCCGGCTGGCGATACGATCCACCTATCCGATCCGCCCACGTAAAGTACTAAAAATCGCCGTCAGTTACCAGACAAAACAAAGATTTGCAAGACGTACTTGGCCGTAATTCACAGTGAAGTACATATGGTGCAGAGTATGGTGCGCCGGCCCATTCACAACCTTCTCGAAAATGTGCCCAGTGACCATGTCGGAATCGTGAATCTAAAATAAATAACCTGGTCAGTCGTCGGTAGAGTCGATCGAATATGGCACGTACAAAGACAGTCCAGCAGTTGACGAGGACAAACAGAGCGAGGTATAACACTCTATGTAATGGAAAGACAAAGACAAAGAGGTGATACGGCACAGATTGCAGATATCCGTCGATCGGATGAAATGCATAAGACCCGAACGGGGTGGGACTAGTAAACTATCAGCGACCTGATACTGGAGGACAGAGGAAAGGGAGCAAGCTTACTGATCCACTTGTGGTGCGGTTTATGAAGGTGTTTATATAAGAACGGGATGTGCAACCACCGATGTATCCAATAGATACCGTATTCTGTAAATAACAAATATCTTCAACTTTCATCAGCGGTGACGAAGCCGAAAAAAAAAAGATACCACTTACAGAGGAACAGAAGCGAACAGGTATGCATACCCATACGTGTCCACTCGATCATAGAGCTTGGAATATCCCATTACTTCCGCTTGAAACCAGGGAATAGTGAGCAATGCTATCACGGGGAACGCCCGCAGACTTGTCTGAATTTCAAGCCTGACTTGGTTGTCGAGAAACTTCGGATGGCGCATCATCTCATGATTGAAGATGTACCTGTACGAAAGGCCGGCGAACAGGAAATAGAGAACATGTATTCCAAGCAGCATTATCACCGCGATGGACAGGACCTGGCGCGGAATATAATCGCGCGGCCATGCAGACAGCAGCGCCGGTGATTGGGCATTAGAATATAAAGAGGCGAGCTCGTCAGACGACAGCGGAGGATGGGGCAGATGTGATATCAGCTGCGACCACGTCGATGGCAAAGAGGACGACTTGACAAGAGATTTGGCAGTTGAATTAACGGGGGCAAGGAGTGTCGCGAAATCGGCGAATGCGGAGAGAGGCACGGTATGCGCCCAAAATTTATCGAGAATCAGGTCGTTGGCTATGTCGAGGACGAGATCCATGTTGGAGGAGCCTACCGTTGAATCGGATGGTAGGTATATTTTTTGGGATTTGTAAACTATATCCGTACTTTTTTTTCTGCGAATCAGGCCACTTTTATACTCTATCACGTGTAACACCACAGAACATGGCGGTGGGAGAGAGCTTAGAGAGAAGGCAGTGTAAACTTGATCAGAGGGATGGCGGACGCGCGGACGTAGTAACCAATCAATCTTGTCGATGTCCTGATCAACGGTAAGTAATAAGCTCAGTCGCGCATTTTGATTAGACTTCTCGCCGTGCGCTAAGCGAGTATTGTCGCGAGGATTAATTCTAACTGTATGTTTTCCCGCATTTTGGTGCAAACTAATACTAGTATCGGTGCTGCTGTGAGAGAAAGTAATTCATTCTTGGAAACGCAATGGCTTTCCAGATAAACACGACTTTATCTGCGTGATTCTGAAAATGTACAATAATAAAAAGCGCCGACCAAACAAGCGCCCATACCGATGGGAATCCCGATACTTGGAAAACTTCCCATAAAGGTGGACATGCACGTGGAGAAAAATCTGAGAGCCCCTTCGGATTCGATAAGAATTCTTTCCTTTGCATCCTTCCACCAAAACATTCAGGAAACATCGCCTGTTCCTTGCTTGAGATCATTATCAAGTAGCCCGGCCATGCGATGATGCCGCCTCGGCTCAAAATCCATGGTGCTATAGTGTAGTGGTTATCACTCGGGATTTTGAAGCATAAGCGCCGACGTTCCGCCTTCCCGAAACCCAGGTTCGAACCCTGGTAGCACCTCTAGTTTTCTATGCACCCCGCAGTGTTTTAATTTTTCGCGGATGAGCAAGGCGTAAAACGGTAAACCAAATTTTTGATCTTTCTTGCATCCAGAGCGATCCGGATCCCGAATATAATGCCGCACTCAAGTATATCGTATAATCATTTGCCAATTTGCGCGGCACTGGTAGCGCTACCTTCGCCAGGAAATCACCTGAATTACAACAATGAGGAGGTGCTATAGTGTAGTGGTTATCACTCGGGATTTTGAAGATATATTCCCGAAACCCAGGTTCGAACCCTGGTAGCACCTATAGTTGATGATACATTAAATTTTTTCTTGCTACGAACAGCCTAACAGGTAACAGAACCCAGATTACACCGATTCAATGATATGCAATTTCTCCTAACTCTGTTTTTTGAGCTTGATCCTTCTTATTTTACTAGAAATTTTATTGCTTTTACTGGCAGGTCTGAAGCTTCCCATTCGAATCGGATCATGCGTCCGCATTTCTAGTACACAGGTTCGCACAAGTCTCCTTGCAAGACCCTCAATGGCCTCGGAAACCAGCCAATGGTCTCGGGATGAAGAGTATTATTTCCCCGATGGGAATGTCACTGTTCTGGTATCTTCGGTGCTTTTCAAAGTAGGTCATCGCGAATGGTTATGATCAAGATCATCCACCCATCCATGCTCAAGCGCTCATGTATGTTGCTGATTTGCTTTCTTTCATATTTTAGGTCCATCGCCATATCTTAGCTCGAGATGGGTCGAGTTTCGAGAACATGTTCACGTTGGATGCAGTCGCTGGCGATACCACCAACGACTCAGATGACACCCAAATGACTACGTTCCAACAAGATGGCAACAGTGACGAAACACCCATCCAGCTGCAGGGAGACTCCGCAGACGATTTTCGTCGTTTTCTCTGGTGTTTGTATGCCTTGTAAATCGCACGCCACCTTCACCGTTGACGGCGCCGCCCATGAAAGCTGACGATCTGTCTGTCTAGGCCACAAGATATCGCGCAGCTGATGTCCCCAAACCCCGACGTTGCCGATATCACCAAGCTTGTCAGCGCGCTTGGGCTGGCGCACAAGTACCACTTCGTCTCCACCGAACTCTGGGCCACGCGGGTGATCGCAGAATATCTACGCGACCTTCCCCCGAGCGGGCCAACTGTGCCTATGCCAACTCTAGTCAAGATAAGCGAAATCGCTGTTATGTCGAAGGATGCATCACTTCTGGACGTCATACGCAAGCGTTGGCGCCGCCTCATAGCCGAAAACCGACACCTCGGACTAGCAGTCATCACCACCGAACGCCTTGGCCTGCGCAGTCTGCAAGGGCTCGCATACCAAGCGCTACTGCTGAAAGGGCGCGCGTTCTGGGAAAAGGAGCCCGAGCTCACCAGGGAGCACCGCATCCGCCTGCTGTCCGGGTTCTACAACCTGACGCGCTTCTGCACCGAGCTGCCGGACACGCCTCCTGCGTTCCAGCATGGCGCCGGCTGCACAGATACGCAAAAGTGCGAGGAGAGCTGGAAGCGGATATGGCGCGCGGTCATCGTCGACACTGCACCCAGGTCCGACGCGTCGATCGGCGGTGCAGCGGCGCGCATGCACCACATGAGGTACGACCATATCGACGTGGTAGGGCGCCTGACGATGGTGAGGACCATCGTCGGTGTTATTCCCAATACATCAGGTATCCAGGAGCTCCTTGGAGGTGGGTTTTCTAGCTCGGTGTGCGAGAAGCCTGTAATGGAGGCATTGCTCGCATTCTATCGAAAGACGCAGAACGGATTGATGGATTTTTTCGAAGATGTTGCTTGATCGTATTCACTGCGGGTGCTCAATATAATACCGTGTTGGCTAGCAAATGGAATGTATAATATCACGAGTACCTACACCTAGATGAACGCCTGGCCTGGACATCGTCCTTTACGTAGACATGCCCCACTTCCACACCACACCGCGACCTCGCAGGTTTTTCGCAAGTGGCATACTAGTCAGTACCAAACGTTATGATATATCATGGGCCGTTTCTTATAACACCTTTTTGATATAGACACTTTGTAGACACGCCACAGCTAGCTGCCATGGAATTCAGCAACTCAAAACCAGTTAAGAAAGTATTAGCACCATTGAAAACCTTATGAGAAAATGAGACATGTCAGTGAATCAACGCTTATATGTTCACGACTTCTTCTGTATGAAGAAAGATGAATCCAAGGATAATCGGAATATGGACCCTTGCATGCCATATTTCTCACTTTGAAAGAGCTCTCAAAAGTTTCAAAGAATGACTAACCTGAAGTTTACCAAATGCCACACTTTCCCATTCACGAAGTTTCGGCCCAGGTCCGCGCCAATAATAGACTTGAATTGGTAGTATACTTATGATTATCAGTTCAATTAGTACAGCTGGTCCACTACTTAGCTTGGTGCATATAATGAGCGGGGATTATTGATTATGTATAGAGACCATATCCTGTACCAAGGTCCGTTTACCCCCTTTGCTTCACTCGTGAAGCCAGCACCGACATATGGATATGCTATGCAGGGCGCGTTCTTCCGAAGCCACTACATGAGGAGGATACAAGCGGTGTCCTTTCCGTCAGGCAAGCCCACACCGCTGAATAAATCTACACGTATCAGCCAGGTCAATACGCACACCCAGACGTAAGCCCGATCCCGGGCGTCCTCCTCTACACCCCACCTCCACATCCTACCGCGCCCTCGCAGGTGGCACAGATATGTAGAGTATGCATATACGCATGCACCTCGATTAACTATAAAGATGCACATAAGCGCGCCATCGGCATAATCCCCGCCTTCGCGCATCGCATCGCGCGGTCCACCCCTAGACCCCCAGCTTCCCGCTCTCCACCCGCACCTTGGCCTGGTCGACCGCGCGGTACATATCGACAGCCGCGGTCGAGTCGGGCGCGAGGTTGAAGATGGCGAGGATCGCAGGGACCGCGTCGCGCGTGAGGAGCAGCTCGTGCGCGGGGCGCTGGGCCGATGCGGGGCCGGAGGGTGCTGGGTTGGGTGGTGGTGGTGGAGGTGCTGAGTACGCAGGTGAGTCGGGGGACTGGGAAGGCGCCTGTGTGGTCGGCTTGCGGTACACCTCGTCGAGGGGCGCGCATGGTTGGGGAAGAATGATGTCGTGTGTCAGGAGGAGCTCGAGGTACTGGGAAGCTTTATATGCTATTGGGATATAAGCAAGAAAATATAGTTAGATTCGAATGCAAGGGCAACGGGGAGAGCAAGAGATACAACTGACCCCGGTAGTGCGACCATGAGCGCCACACGCAAAAGAAGAAGGGTAGATTGGGTATGATCGCTGTGGTATCACAATGGATTAGAGCTCAAGGACAAGCGAAAAAGACGCGAAGCAACTCACGAATGAGCATGAACGGCGTGGTGAACGGCGCCAGCACCATCCACAAGTAGAATCCCTTACGATGACGCGGTATCCGATGTTGCGCGTACGCACGCAGCTCATTGAGCGCCTGCTTGGGCGAAAGTTGCGACGGGGGAAACAAGAGCGGGATCTGGTGAGTCGGGTCAGCACATATGGCAAGCACACTGAATAATTAGGAGCACTGGGTACATACCTTGGGGACAGGCACTTCCTTTCCATCTTCCAGAATGGCCTTGCCGCTCCTAGCGAGGTTGACAATGGACGGTCCCATGCTCGGGTCGACGCTCTTCAACGCGAGCTCCTCAAACTCCATGCGGTCTACCAGCTTCTCACCCGCGTCATACACCCGCCGCTGTGCACGCACATCAGTATTCCGCTCACAGTCGTAAGGAATTCAGGACACACACCTGCCACCCGCCCTTCGCGCGCCCAAAGCCGCTCCACACCTCCGTCGCCTTGTGCGTCGTCCAGTCCGCGAGCCCCTCCGCGCGGATCTGCGCCGGCCATGCGCGCCAGCCTTTGTCTGGTCCCTTTCCCTTGTCCCCTGTACTTGTACTGTCCCCCTGCCCTGCCCGCTTCCTCCCGCCTGATATCTGGAGCTGGTAGTACGTCAGGCGGTCAAGTCCTGACCCCGACGCCAATGCCTGCGGAGCTCTGCCCACTGGACGGGTGAGCGGCAGCGCTATGATGCGCATCTTCTGCAGGGCTTTGAGGGGCATTTGTTTCTTGTGTCGCTGGGATATGTATGGCACGGTATACTGTGGTGGGAAATTTGTATGCTGGTGACTGGTCGTTATCTCGCGTCTAGTTGTGTTAGAATTACAGCGCCAGCTGTGCAGAAAGGTGAGGCGGTGAGGTTGCACAGAGCTGGGCCGAGTCGTCTGTGCAACTCGAAAAAACAAATTTCGGCGAGTGCGACGACGAATATGTCGCAGCGCGCGCACGTGGCCATGATGCGGTAAGTTCGACGCGTTGCTCGGCGGCAGCAGAGCCATCATGACTCTGTTCACCTTGCGATCCATCGCGCCGCTTTGCATATGCCTCTTTTCATGAATCTCTTTCTCTTCCACCTCCTTCTATTGGACGTCCTGTCGCTTATAGGCGATTGGGTTTACCTTGATGAACCCGTCGCCGTCTTTCCTCTTCAGTATGTCATCTTCACCCATCACATACAGGACTGTCCATAGACCGCCGTCCTTCTTCCTTCCCAGAACGAGGGCCCCAGGGACAGACCGTGAAGCATTGGGTTGGTGAACATACCAGTTAGAGGCCAGATAGTGGATGGCCCTGTGGAGTGGACGATGGACGGAATGCACGGATTGCCGCTGTGCTTGTTTCTTTTCGCTGATGATCGAAGGTTTCGTGTTTTGTTCCATCTCTGGCTTGGCTGCGTCGATGGCTATGTCTTGACCTTCTTTCTCCTATATTCAAACGGTCAAAACAACTTTACCGAGAGAGGGTTGATCTCAAAATGTCCCTTTGATCCAGAGTCTGTTGAGAATAGGAATTCTCAACGACGTCGTCGTCCTTGGAGCGTTCCGTTTTCCGGATGTGGCGGCTGGAATCAGATGGATTGAATTCATTGTTTTGACATGTCAACCCCTCTCCTGTAAAAGAGTTGACGGTATAGGTCCCATACAGGACCGTTGTTCTGTAAGTTAAGCAGCGCCAATTAACCTATCACTGCAACAGTTGACCTACTAGATGGAGCTTGTGCTCCCGAAATACTTACGCGCCTACTGTGGGTTCCCGTGGTAAGTATTCACCCTATCGTCGTTGGGGTAGGCAAGTGATGGACAATTCAAGGCCGTCTGCACTTTCGCTTGTTCGCGCCATTGACCGACATTTCTGTAGGTGGACACATATATTCTATGCGACCGCCA